GCCCCTCCCCATCTCTTCTCACTTCATGTTCTCTTTTTTCTTATTTATTTTTTTCATGGGGCTTTTGGCTGCTCTAACATTTCCCCCCCTCTGAAGAGGTAACCCTAAAATCTTTTAAGGATTAGATAGAAGCTCCCAAATACTTTTCAACATTTTTGGCCTTTGGAACAGAGTATATTGCTAAGAGGCCCAAGGACATTGTGGGTTTTAGCCAAGAAACTGGCTACTTTTCTTTGGGGCCTTTTTAACCCTAACTGCCTAGCCAATTCCTACCTCCTATTCTTATCATGCCATCCTCTGAGGAGGTTATCCAAATTGCCAATAGGGAATAGGGACGCAGACCACTCTGGCTTCTTTCACACTGAACAGTTTTATTTTTTATACTTTAATAAATCAGGATTGAAATAAAAATCTAGAAACCATTTGGAAAAACAGCACATGAAAGGATAAGTGACGTGAACTTGGCATTTACCTACAAAGAGCTAAAAGAGTGTGATTTTAAAACATTTTGGATTTTCTTCTTTCTCCTACCTCTGTTGAGTTTCTTTACCTCACTGTTTCCTTACCCTTGTCCTGGTTCCTGCAGTTATGTCTGTTTGCATACTTATTTATCAAAGTCTGATCCTAGGATCCACATATGAGGGAGAACATATGTTGATTTTTTTTCTGAGATTGTGTTAACTCACTTAGTATAACAGATTCTAGTTCCATCCATTTACCTGCAAATTTCATGATTTCATCTTTCTTTACTGCTGAGTAAAACTCCATCGTATATATGAACACATTTTCATTATCCACTCATCAATTGAGGGACACCTAGGTTGCTTCCATCTCTTAGCTATTGTGAAAAGAAGAAACTCAACAGAGGTAGGATCATAGGATTAAGAGTATTAGTAAGGAAGAAAGGGGGTGGGGAAGTGGGGGCACCTTAAGTGGGAAAACCATGATAGAGGGGTGAGATGATACAAGAGAGAAACAATGCCTAGCTAGTCACGAAAACCAGAGGGAA